TGTAAAAAGTGTAATCAGAAGGCTACCTAATCAGAATATACACGTAATGTAACCTGATCACTTTATGTTACTTTAAGATTACTTCAATATCAAATGCAATGTCAATGAATAAAAGAGAAAAGAAATATCAATACGATGTTTTTTACTTCTGTGTATTATGTAAGACAGAACAGAACAATGTGACCTTACAAAGAAGAAACCATTATAAATCCTATTCTGCTTTTTGGGGGTTTTCTCTTCCCTGTAGTGTGTTAGGTTTTAGTGCATGTAAATGGTGTGCAAAGGCTAGAATCCTGAAATCCTTTCTGGCCTCAAACAGTTTCTCTTCCACACACTTATATGTATATGAAAAGCTGCCTGTCAGCAGATTCAAGCAGCAGCCTGTACACCAACACTGACACACATGAGCACATACTACAGTTTCAAAAAGCAGAAATCAAATCTGAGCTGACAGAAAATGCTCCGTTTTACTTTAATACACACAGTTAAGCTCACACACACTATTTTATGAACATACAGGTTCACCTGCTGAATTAAAAACAGAGCAAATGAACAAAGAAAGTGAAAACCATAAAGCAGATTCAGGCAGTAGGCGTATAGATTCACACATAAAGTATTATCCTACAGAACAGAACAGTTTAGAAGAGATAACATCTGATCCTTTACAACAAACACTAGATGCTCTTTTTAGTTTTACTAACATTGTAATCCTGCTAGTAATCTTAATTTTTAGAAATGTCACAGTAATCTGACACAATTCTTCTTATATTTTTTATATATATATATTTTTTTATATTTAACCTTTATTCAACCAGATAAAAGCATTAAGATAAAATCTCATTTTCAATGCTGACCTGGCCAAGAAGGCAGCAACGTTACACATAACACATAACACATAACACAAACATATAAAATACAGAGAACGTAACTAAGGAAACAAAAGAGGAAAAAGCAGTCACTACATTGTGCACATTAGGACAGTAAGAAAGTTACACTACAGCTGGTGGTAAAGACTTCAGACAACTTCAATTTAAAACATGATATTGAGACAAGTGCCCTCAGTTTGAGGCGTGATTGAAGGTCATTCCAAGACCAAGGACCATAATAAGAAAGACTCCTTTTTCCAGCCTCAGTCCGCACAGCAGGAACCTGGAACCGTATATATAACTGTAAGGGAATACAGTTAATTTGTTTTAAATCCTGTTTGCGTATATGTAAACATGTAATCTATTACTCCCCAAGCCTGTACCTTTCTTTAACCACAAGTGTCTAGAATATGTATCCTTTAATGTTTGGTAATGCTTGTTGTTCCTTTAGTATCTGTTGGTATGTTACTTGGTAATTAAAAAGCAAATACAATATGTTTTTACCTTATATTCAGGGCCGTCCCTCCCTACAGGCCGATCATGCAGACTGCATGGGGCCTCACCTTGCGGAGGGGGCCTCACCTTGCGGAGGGGGCCTCACCTTGCGGAGGGGGCCTCAACTGAGCCGAATATGCGGCGCAATTAGTGTGGCGCTCCACTAGCACCCCCAGTATGGTATACTGTATATTTATATGGGCTCATGGCTCTGTGCAGTCCAATTCTTATCCTATTTTATTCTGAATTGTGTATTGACCTGGCTTTGTGCACAAGGCACTGTCATGTTGAAACAGGATGGGTAAAAAAACACTTAATGTTGACACAACTTAAAAAAATACCATTGTCAAGAATATAATTTGATGCTGAAGCAATAACATTTAATTTAAATTAAGCTAAGAAGATTAGCCAAAACTATGACCTGAGCTGGCCCTGATCAACAGTGTGTCTACCAGTGGTGGAATGTAAATAAGCACATTTACATAAGTACTGTCATTTCAGGTACTCAGTATTTTCACTTTATTCTACCTTATACTTTTACTCCACTACATTTTGTATGGATATATTGTATGTTTTGTATTACTTTGCACATTCGGATTATTAATTAAAAAAATAAAAAACATTATTATTTAAAAACTGAAATTGGCTTTACATTGTCATCATTTAAAAAGCTCTTACATGTATATGTTAGCCATAAAAACACAATCATAAAATATTCTAAAACAATATAATAGTTTCAAAAGAGCCATTGTGCATAATGGGTACTTTTACTTTTGATACTTTGAGTACATTTAGCTGATAATACTTCTGTACTTTGATTTAGGTGACATTTTGAATTCAGGACTTTTACTTGTACATATTTAAGTTAAGGATTTGAGTACCTCTTCCACCTCTAGTGTCTACATATCTTTTTATTTTTCTGTAATGAGGAAAGTCATCTGATCCAAACTGAAGCAGTAAACCTGCTGACCTTTTTTCAAAAAGGAAGTTAGAATACAAACCATTAGAGAAGACTGTCAGTCACATGGTGGACCAGTTAGCACATGTGAGATAATGTGATGTGAAGGAAACACCAGAGTTATGCAATGGTGGTGGGAGAATGAGGCAACGCAGGATTCCCTCACAACTTTCTACCTGCCCGGGCGAGGCTGGTGGAGGCTCCGGATGGAAGGATGGAGGGGGGGGGGGGAAGTGGAGCTTTGTTGACGAGGTTGCAACCAGGTAAAGAACCTACGTGAAACCTGTGGTGTTGTGGTTTCCTGACTCACTTCTGAAGTAAACCAACGAGCTGTGCGTATGCAGAAATGTGTTCCTGTTTGTAAGTTGCAACACACAAGCATTTTCCACCTTCACAGAGGAGGGGTTCATTAAATAACAGTTTGACCCATATTCATAAACTCACTAGATTATTGTATTAAGAAGATTAAGATGGAATGCTACCTCAAAGTCAAAGTCAACTTTATTGTCAATTCCTCTCGTTGTGTAATACAGACAGATCGAAATTCTGTTTCTCATCATCCCACAGAATCAATATAGTAAATATATTATTTACTATATAACTTTTAGGAATTGATGAGGTCAAACCCCCTGAACACAACTTATTATTTATTAAATAAACTTAAGTTATTTAATGAGTTTTTAAATGAACAGCTCACAGTTGCTAAAAATGAGGTCATGACACCAGAATATGTGGGTCACAAAAACAAAACTACGTTCTAACAGAAGCGTAAGTGTGTGGATGGTTAATACCTCTAGGTTTGACATACATTACACATATATTTGACCCATTATTATTCTCGACTACAGCTTTGACTTTATATCCTTGAAAACTAAAGCTACATCAATAAAAATAACAAAGGCTGAGCTTGTTGGGACACATTATTCACCCATTACGGTTTATGTTTATGTTTCAGCTGCAGTGACAATGTAAAAAGCCGATTCCTTTTCCTCGCAACTCACATAGAGCATCATTTAGTCCCACTTCAAATTTCAAGTCACCAATGCGAAAGTAAATGCACAAATAAGCAAATTATAGATATGTAATCAAATGTGATATACATGGTAAAAACAGAATGTTCCATAGTGTTTTCTGATGGAGTTACCGTAAAACAAATGTGTTGTTTGACCAAAGCTGACATTGTAATAGGACTGCTTTCTGTCCCTATTTCTGCTTTAAGATAAGATAAGATAAGATGGACCTTTATTAATCCCCGTGGGGAAATTCAGTTGTACAAAGCAGCAACAGGATAAGCGATAAAAAAACAGGACAGCAAAGATTCACACAGATTAATAAAATAAAAAATAAAATCAAGAAAGAAAAATTTAAATAATAATGACCATAGAATGTACAAACTGACCCATCAAGAACAGTGTAATATACTGTAAAAACTGTTACATTCTATATTCAATATTCACTCAACATATTGGCACTCTGCATTATTGCATCACTGTTATTCTAGTTCATATGTTACAGTATATACACACTATATTTCTCTTAATTTGGTGCTGCAAGCAAACATTCTAAAACCTAACAGTGGAAGAGGAAGTGGTACAGGAAGAATCTTAGTAAACACGTGAAGAAACACAATGAATACAGTTCCTCTATTTCAGTATTTATTAAGGGTCCTTTAATATTTCAAAATCTGACTCCGTGAATTGTATTTGTTGTAATTATCAACTAAAGGAATTACCACTTGTGTCTTTTTCTTCTCCTATTAAAATCATATCTATCTATGTATAATATAATATGTATAATATAATAAATGTGTTATGGACAGCAATATATCTGAAACATTCAAAGATAATTATAAAAGTAAAACATTTTTAATGGAATAAATGTCCAACAAAAGTAAAACTGTTAGACAGACAGAGAGTGCCATCTGCTGGACATTGTACACATTACAGTAACTGTACATGATGAGCCATCTATGCCATCTGTTAAACTTCCGGAAGAAATAGTAGTAGTAGTAGTAGTAGTAGTAGTAGTAGTAGTAGTAGTAGTAGTAGTAGTAGTAGTAGTAGTAGCCTAGTAGTAACTGTGATGGGGCTGCTTATTTGCACAAGTGCCACAATATGAGAGAATCAAACTCTCTCACGTCTTTTTATTATTATTTCATTATGAATGCATTATGAATTGATTATCAGCATTGTTATTATTTTCTTAATACATTTTCCCTTATATTCCTTGTAAAGAAAACATGTTGTCTTGCATTTGTTCAAAAATGTTTATGAATTGAACAGCACATTAAATGTTTATTTATATATAGATGTCACAATTGTACAAAGCTTTGGTAATACTGTATGTCATGATGGTCATGCTAATAAAGCTATTTGAATTTAATTGAAGACAGCTCTCCCCTGGGATCTCCTAGCAGAGTTTCACATCCTCTGTTCATCAATATTACCGTAAAACTGGAACAACAGGTTTGCTAAACATTATGGTAAAAATACTATTAGGATAGAAGTTGACTAAATAACTATATCATTCTTTCCCAACATGTGTACTCATGTTTGCCTTAAATTGATTTGGGATATTTTTCAAAACGTTTATTGACGCAGTAGTTAATGCAGACTGTCTCCACTGTCTTTTCCACACATTACGGTTGATGTTGCCAGGGAGGGACTCGACCACAGACACAATTGAGCTGCAGTGACTGTGAATAGCCGGTGCCTGTTCTCACTACTCTCATCATTTACAGCCCCTCACATTCAGACAATGCTGAGCTTTAATGCTATTCTCTTCGGAATGCTAGCAGCTAGCTTACTGTTGTTTTTGCATTAACGAATTATCTTTGTGAGATAGCATACAGCCCGTTTAGTTGGTTAGCTCGCTAGCTAGCAAAGCACCTGCTGCCCTCCTGCTGCTATTGTTTCTTCTGCTAACCTGGATATAACGGTCCAGCTATCTGTGAGATATAATGGAGTTTCCTTTTGATATCAACCACTTATTTCCCGAGAGGTTCTCCATCTTGGACCAGACCCTTGTTGCAGGACGTAAAACAGCAGGAATGTAAGTCGGAACATCCTTTTCTCTTCAGGCTGGGAACTGTCACATTGTATTAATGCTACAGAGTACAGTCACCAACACAGTACTATATGTGGCTGTGCAGCTGTAGAAGAACAACTGGATAATATGGAGGAAGATACTTCATTTCAGAGTGTCACTTTGTATTCAGGGGGTTGTTGGGGGTGAAGTATCAGCAGAGATGGGAAGTAATAAGTAACCTCAGTAACTTTGAGGTACTTGAGTATTTCCATTGCATGCTACTTTGTACTACTACTCTACTACATTTAAAAGGGAATTTATTTCCCTACCTTTATTGTTAACACTTTTAACAAAATGCAAGTCTAAAAATTAAACTAGTGGATAAACTCTTTAAAAGGTCCCATGCATGCTTTTCCGGTTATTACCCGTCCCCTTGTGTGTTATGAAGGTTTTTCTGCATGTAAACGGTCTGCAAAGTCACAAACCCTCAAAGTACACCCTGTAGCGAGTAAAACTCTAACACAGAAAAGACCTGTCTATGCTGCCCCAGAACGCCTCGTTGGACATTTTTCTTTTTCCATTTCTTTCTTCCTGAGTATAGTGACGTAACGATACCCAGGTCCAAATGGACCAATCCGTGGAGCTCCTCACACACACACACACACACACACACACACACACACACACACACACACACACACACACACACACACACACACACACACACACACACACACACACACACACACACTCACTCAGCCTTATCTTTTCTCAGCTGTTTGTGTGCTCAGGCTGAGTTCCGCGGTGTCTCGCTGTCTCGCAGCAACCAGGAAGCGACACCAGTAATCCAGCTCACACTGTCCGCTCCTCGATCCTCAAAGGGCGGAGCAGCGAGCCCCGCAACGTCCCGCCAACACGGCACCCAGACCCCACGCAGCATTCTCATCTGTTTGTCATTACTGGTGTAATTTTATGGTTGCTAACAAACGCCATTGTAACACATAATCACTGATGTTCCGCTGTAACGGTGGTGGACTCATCAGAACAGAGTGGGCAAGCTGACCAATCAGAGCACAGTGGGCTCATAGGGAGGGGGGGCAGGAGCTCCAACAAGCCGTTTAGGACAAAGTAGTGATGGGAATTATGGCTCTTTGAAGGGAGCCGGATCTTATGGCTCCGTTCCTTTCAAAGAGCCGTTCAAAAGAGCCGTTTTTTTTAAAGGGGGCGGGGTTACTAGGTTTATAATAATCACCAGGATAATGATTGACTGTATTGCCAGACCTAATGTCAATAATCTGCATTGTAAACATGACACAGGGTGGCGCCATATCCATGTCATTCATGTCAGTGAATCTACTACTTTGAATTTACCCTATGTATGTGTTAAGTAAATACATTTGCCTTGCCTTGAATGAAATTCACGCACCTCTTAATATTAGAACACTACGCTTTATCACTGCCTGGGTTTTGGTTGAAGTGCATCCAAATGCTGCTGCGTTTTTGCGTTTGGCTCATTTTCCATCCGAAAAACACGTCGTCTACCTGTCCTGTAGGCTACCATTTGTTATGACTTCTCTCTGGCAAGTATTCCGTTAAGACCCACCCCATCTCACTCCTCGTGCTGAAACCTACCAATCAGAGTAGGGGCGGGTCTTCACAGAATACGTTTGGAAAACAAAATCAAGCTTTTTAAAAGGCGAGTGGATTTTGACAGTGTGGACCAACGATTGAACGATAAAAAGAACGGCTCTCACCAAGTACGACTCGGTTCCCTTCGTTCGTACCAAAGAGCCGTTCAAAAGAATCGGCTCGTTCGCGACCGACACATCACTAGGACAAAGAGTGAATACACATACTATACAGAGATGCTGTATGAGAAACCAATGTGATTTTGGAACATTGAACAATGTAAATCTATTCTAGTAGACCTCAACAATGGAATCATGATCAGTAGAAATGGCCATGACATGGGACCTTTAAGTCACAAAAGAGTCTAATTATTTAAATGTTTTACTAAAAGTCAATCAGAACTTAAACAGTGAAATGCTACATGATGCAACACTATTTTCTAGAAATGTCACATATTATAGATATAATTATATACACACGCTCTTTTCTGCACAATGATTACGTTTCATATTTTAATTACTTTTTGGAGATAATACTTTTATGATGTACTTTTATGCAAGTAAGATTTGAATGCAGGACTTTTACTCGTAACAAAGTATTTTGACAATAATAATAATTTGAATACTTCTTCCACCACTGATTATTATTATTATTATTATTATTATTATTCTTCATGTTGCAGGCCACATCTTCAGGCAAACATAGAAACAGTTATCGATGAGCTTGGGAGAGCCTCAGCAAAGGTGAGTCTCTGTTTGTATGATTTATGTTTGTTTGTTGGGGTTAGAATCAAAATAAAACTTACTTATTTAGAATTTTGAAAATAGTTGTAGTTCACTTTTAATACTTATAAGCACTTTTAACTTTCTTTAAATATTTATATCGTACTTTTCCTAACATTTATCACTTTGTCTTTTGACATCAATTTACCCGTTAACATTTTTTTTTTTTTAAATGCTTACTCCACATAAAAGACACATCACTTCCAGCAAACTGCATTGAGAAGCATTAGGGCCTAATGGTTCTCAATGCAGTTTGATAATGATTAGGGCAACAGCATCACTGATCGGGTTAACCCAATACTCTGTGATCCAACATCTATCATCACAACAACACACTCTATCATTTGAATGACGTTGGTTCAAACACACAATACACAGGCATATTGCGCGTACTGTATGTACACCCACTAGTGTACTGACATATCATTTAGACATGTCTTGTACAGACAGAGGGCTGGAATATTATCCTTTGCAAAACTCAAACCTCATGTTAGTACTAGTATCACTAGTTGTGATAGTACTGATGATAAACGTAACATATCCTTACTCTCCACAGGCCCAGCAGCTCCCAGCCTCTATAACCAGTGCCTCCAAGCTGCAGTCCCAGAAGCACCAGCTCTACCTGCTGAAGGACGTAGAGAGCAACGGGTACATGTCACACTCTCCTCTCATTATACACACCCTGACTGAGCTGTATTCATCAGCTGGACCTTTAATAGCTTCAGTACTGAGTCATACTGTGGTCACAGTGCATGTACTGTTGTGTTTAGATGTGAGCGTACTGTGTTTATGTTTATTGGAGCAGCAAAAAGTTAATTAGAGCACAGAGTCTGACTCACTACACCCTCTTGTATCCCATTCCCCCCCTGCCCCTCCTTCCCCACACACAGAGGCCGTGGTGTTGTCGTGGGGTTTCTCAAGGTTGGCTACAAAAAGTTATTTCTACTTGTGAGTACCTTTTTTGTCTTGAATTCTCTTCATTTCTGGCTCTTCGGTTGGGCAATTATTTCACATGCTTCCCTGATTTGATGTCTATTTAAACTTGCTTTCTGAGCTGTGCTGGTTGTGTTTCCTCCACAGGACCGACAGGGTTCACACGTGGAGGCAGAGCCACTGTGTATTCTGGATTTCTACATAGCAGAGAACTTGCAGCGATATGGCTACGGGAGGGAGCTCTTTGATTTCATGCTGCAGGTGAAACTCCTTCCAAATGACTTGAAAGCAGATTTAGTGGAAGACGTTATGACATTCACCTCTCGAGGTTCTTGAGATCAAAACATGAGTAGTCTGTGGGCTTACTAAGAGAAATGTTATGAAATACAGGTTCCATTATTCCTTCATGGTGGAAGTACTGCCTGTTGTGGCTTCCTTCCTTTGTTTCCTTAAACCACTTAGATGCCTTTTTAAAGCTTTTAAACAGACATTTCTAACATTTTATCTTTCAATGTTGTTGTTTTACTTACACTTTTGATGACTTTTTTGGCTTCTGATGATGTGTGACTAAATACTCGAGAGGCTATACAACTCTTGGTAAATCAAAATAAAATAAAATTCTTTCCACAGCCTTTCAACAAACAAAATAGGCCTTTACAGAGGTCAAACAAATACAAAAGAGGCACAACTCATCTTTCTTTCTATCATAATATACGTCATATAAATGAACAGTTCAAAACTGTGTCTTCACGGCCTCTTCCTCATAGGTTTCCCATATCTGTGACTATTAAAGACTTGCACTGTGGGAATTGTAGTCTTTTATAGGTCACCACTGTGACAAGATTAGGACCTTTTCACAAAAAACTAAAACTGGCTTTAACACTACCATACCTTAAATCCTAGTAAGCCTCAAACAAACTAGTGTGCTGCCTTGTTGACGTAACACATCTAAAAGCAAAAGTAACCACACTGAAAGACAAAATGTTCTGCCAGTAGTCATTCTTTAACCTGTAGCCACATGTGGGATGTTCAGTAAAACTAGGAGAACATAGAGCGATGAGAAATGCGTGCATTTTCACAAACAACACTGAATGGAACTTGGAACATCTTTCTTGTTTGAGAGAACCGGAAAATATGTATTAATATATCTGCCAGTAGAGATGATGATCACAGTTCATAGCTGTGTGTTGTTTATGAGTCTCTTTCTGTTTCTGTACCGCAGCACAAGAAGTTAAAGCCCGTCCTGATGGCTTACGACAGGCCGTCGCCCAAGTTCCTGTCCTTCCTGGCAAAGCATTACTGCCTGACGCCCAGTGTCCCTCAGGTACAGTCTGTCCTTCACACTGTCGCTATATATTTATGTGTGAGGCTTTATCAGCTGTCGCTCATCAGGCTTATTCCAGTAGAAACAGTTTGTGTCTCTACTTGTAAAGGAGTGAGACTTCTCTATAGTACAATCATTATCACCTTACTGTAGTGTTAGAAGTCACATCTACCAGTTAAACATTCACCACATTAGGTATTACTTTATTGTGCAAGGACAATAAAGTTACATCTATTCTAGTCTATTCTTATCATATACATTCTTTAAGGTGATCAGCACTTTTTTAATCAAGTAGATTAAACCCTAACCCTAGTGAAAAATAGGGCGTCAGATTGAATAGCTACAGCTTTTATCCCAATGCGTCAGATACACACAGAATCAACATGTAAGAAGATATAAGGATCATCCTGGATATCATTCATATTAAAGGACAAGGGTCAAGCTGTCGGAGCAGATGTTTCACACCTAAATGCTTCTGTTAGTTCTGTCAGTGTTTGTACTAGCTTATGTGAGTGTGGATCACACTGTTTACATGTTGGCCCAGAGTGCCAACCACCTGTTCTACTTTATGACACCTCAGCAGGATGAATGCATACGTGACATGCAGTTGAAAGATCCAAAAGCTAGGAAGCAGAGATTCTTCTTAAATGCGTTAACTGTTCCCAAAGGTCAAGACTGAACCCCATTTTCTGATGGCTTTCCTGATTCAGTAGCTTGCCTTAATAATGCTGCTCAGTCAATTGTGCATGCCCTTCAATGTTTGTATCACCGTTTGTTTCATTGTGAAAAAGCTAACCACATTGATTGGATCCTTTCTTACTTTAACAGTTATGTTGCTTATCATTTTATTCTGTCCAGGCCAATAACTTTGTGGTGTTTGAGGGCTTCTTCGTCAACATATCAGGTACGTTTTTCCAAATGTTTTGCTTTTTGTTGCGGAAAGGGGTTATGTAATTGTGAAAAATGGAACCTCTGATGATTCTGGGAATGTATTTCTCAACCCTGAATATGCCTCCTCATTTCTCAGCAAACCTGTGTAAAGCCGTAACACCCAAATACTTTTGTGAAAACATATTTGGAAGTTCAGTTACATCACATATTTGACATGCTACAGTGTGAAGTGAATTCTTGCTTTTGACATCACTTTTTTCTTTTTTGTTGCACATTTCTATGTACAATTCTCCTCATTATAGAGTGTGTAAGAGTAGAAAAGAGCAGAGCTCCAACATCTTTTGTTTCATCACACTCTCTCAGGCTCACCCTCCTCTCCTCTGCCGGATCAGGGGATGTTCAGCTTTTTGTAAGGACTTTGAAATCTCTTTTCTTTTCTCATGTGTCCCCAGCATCTTGTCCTCCTTCTTTGTCCCATGTTATATGTTTGATTCTCTGGGTCTTCTTGTTTTCCTCATCATTTCTCAGCCGGTTTTCACTCCCTTATTCCCGTCACTCTTATTTTTCTACACTTACAGGTATAGTATATGTTACATTTGATGCCTCAACCTGTAGATCCACCTCACCCCCCCTCCCTCACATATCTCTCACTGACAGGAGGATACCTGCCTGTTTCCTGACCCTGCAATGCCTCTTAATGTCTGTCAGATTGTTAAGGACGCCCTATTCTGCTTTTTGAGGTGTTCCATTTCCTGTAGTGTGTTCTATAGGTTTGTGTGCATGTAAATGGTCTGCAAAGGCTCAAATCCCTGTGTTCCCTCCAGAGGGAGGTTCTCTCCCCCCCCCACCTACCTCCATTGGACTCCTTTGTTTACTTCTGTGACATAATGCCATCACTGTTACACTCGTGTTTCTATTGGCTAGCGCTCCAACACATTGTACGTGATAGGGCTGGGACCCTACAAGAGGTTGACCTTTCATAACAGAGCAGGCCGGCTAACCAATCAGAGCAGACTGGCCTCTGGTTTCAGACAGAGGGTGAAAAGAAGTGCTGCAGCAGTATGAGAAAAAGAAAGAGCGAATAGAGAGACATGTCCCAGTAGAGACACACAATACTAATATGACCGTGAACATTAGCATAACAGGGCCTCTTTAGGAGGAGGAGGCCACAGTTACAAAACTCCTGAAAGAGAGGAGAGTTAGTTTCTGACTTTAGAACAAGTGTCCTTTTTTTCACCAGAAATACTGTCTGCATGTAGCTGTGCACTGACCATGAATACATCAACACACGTGTTGGCAAGACTTACTTGCTTGACATGATGGTGTATTTACTCTTATCCAAATAAACCATGACGATTATGGTAATTGATCGTGTGCTCTTAGATTGTGGATTATTCTAGTTATTGGGTGAGTGTTGAACCTGAGTGTCAGCTTATCATTAATGGTGTTAAACACTCCTACACTTTTACTAACTACATTTCAAAATATATGTTCAGGTTATCCTAGACTGATATAATAACATGGCACAAGAACAACTATTTCACATTTGAAGGATACTGTCAGGGACGGTCTGTCCTGTTTCAAGTTCTGCTAGAAATGTTGCACATGCTAACATGTCTGCTCTGAGTTTGAAATGCTCTCAAGACCAATACGTGAAATGTGTTCCAGCCTTCACTGATAAGTAGTAGTACAGTACTGGCAGAGGAAATACTGTTCAAATGAAGCTTGTGAAGGACAGTATGTAGTGTGAGCAGTCATGTTCTGTGTTTGTCCCCACTCTAAATGTGTTCTCCTCCACAGTGGCCCAGCTGAGAAAGGTTCCCCTAAGAAAGCCGGACGGAGAGATCAAGCCCTACTCTTTAATGGAGAGAGAAGGTAAACAGACAGAGTATGAAAACTGTTCTGAGCCATACTGACAGCTGAGAAGAAATCATAATGATGTGTTAGCTAGGCAAGCAAGGTCATGTATTAAGCACATTTCAACACAAGGCCATTTCAAGTGCTTTACAAAAAATAAAAAGCATTAAGATATCGTTCAACAGAAACAAATTATCAAATGACTTTTAAAAACAATCATTAAAAGCTAAGAGAATAACTTAAAAACAAGCTAAGTAGAATAATTCAGCTATAAAATAAAAAAGTTAAATTTACAGTGCAGTGTAAGAACAGTTATTTGATTCAATTAAAAGCAGCAGCAAAAAGAAAGGTCTTCAGCCTGGATTTCATCAGTGAGCGTAGCAGCAGACCTGCAGGTTTCTGCTTTGTTCCAGATATATGGAGCATAATAACTGCTTCTCTATGTTTAGTTCTGACAGGACAGAAAGCAGAACCGTTCCAGAAGACCTGAGAGTTCAGGATGCTTCATCATGTAGCAGATGAGAGTAAAGCATTCAAGTCAATTCTTTGACGGACAGGAAAGACCTCAAAGACCCCTAAAGACAATCTTACAGTAGTCCAGTCTACTTAAGGTAAATGCCTGGACATCAAGTTTTTCCAAATCCTGCCGAGACATAACCCTTTAATATATATGGTGGTCAGAATTTGTAATTGATACTTAAAATAGAAACATAAAAACACTACATAGTACACCCTGTCCTCACTGTGCAGCTCCTTCAGCGGCAGGCGGCTGCACCCCCGCTGTCTCACGGAGAGATACCGCAGGTCCTTCATTCCTGCAGCGGTCAGACTATACAACCAGCACAGCCCCTAGAAGACACCCCCACACCCCCCCCCCCACACACACACACACACACACAACAACACAGACTATAACACCCTTTGCTGTTAAATACCAACCAACTAAGTGCAATATGTGCAATATATATATATGCCGTTAATAACTGTGTAATATACACCTGGCTGCTAAATCCTAAGAACTGTTACAGGATGTGTATTTTGAAAATGATGTAACTTTTTTTATTTTTTATTATATTTTTGTATTATACCGTAACTTAGTACTTTAAAGCATGTAACATATGTAACATTAAGCTGTCTGTGGCTCTTTTTCTGCTGTAACTATGTAAATGTCCCCTCTGTGGGACTAATAAAGGTATTCTGATAGTATTTGGTGAGGTTATGTATAATTAGACTTCTACCATGAGACAGGAATAGTGCTGTTTTATATTTAGGCTCTGCCTCTGCTCCTATTATGCCAAATAGAGATAAACTAGTTCACTATATTTGCATAACAAAAGCTCTTGCAAGATTTGACAGTTCTCATAAACAGTCAATCTAAAAATACTTTTTTTCTGTGTACAAGTAAAATATCAGGGAAGTGGAACAAGCAGAAATGACATTAGAAACACATTGACAATGACAGGTGTTTTTAGATGATTAACCTTGATTGAAATGAAATGTGTTTCAATAAAGGGACACTCTTCCAATGTGAAACAGCACACAGTTCAGTCTTTACAGTTTGCTCATCAGTACTTCCTCTCCCCGTGCAGTGGTCCATCAGGAGCAGCGGGCTCGCCCCTGGCCGTTTGCTCCGCCTCACTCCCCGCAGCGGTCGGTATCCTCCCAGTGCTCCCCCTCCCTGAGCGGGGGGTCCTCCCCCAGCAGGCCCCGCCCCCAGGCCGCACAAGTTCCTGCCCTTGGGCGCAGCAGGGAGCAGAGCCCCCAGTCCCCCCTCCTCGAGCGCTGCAGGGAAAGACGCAGCAGGTAGGACACACACACAATCCCTCTGACACTGACACAGTTACACACACACACACACACACTACCCTAGTCTGGACCTGGAGCATGTACATGCACATTTTACACATGAGAGTCTGCTAGGATCTGTGAATGGAAATGCAATCACTAAAGTGTGTTTCCCCATGCACAGGAACACTGATGCAGGCAGATGAGTTGACACTGATAGAACAGTTAGTGAAGGCAGCATCAGGAACATGCAGTGTGTGAGATTAAAGCTGTGTGAGGTCCCTGCAGCATCCAAAGAATACTAAACCTGACAAGTGTTGTAATTGATTGAAGTTAATGTACTATTTGTAAACATCTGTTTACAAAGTCTCACACAAAGCTTGTGCAGTAAAGTCGTATTTTCACTACTTCACAAACACACACATTTTCACTGGAGCCCCACTATAGATGAACTTCCGACTCGCGTGGAATGTATGAAATACTACGGGTTTAGCCAAAATGATCCCATTTACATTAATGAACTAAAAGAAGATTACTCAATATTCTTAGTTTTGGAATACCTGTTCATTTCAAAAAACATAATTTTATGTTTGAAGGTTACCAGGTGAGTCCTCCTTTAAGCTCAACCACTCATGTTAACCAGAACATTAGTGGTTGAGCATTAGTGCCCCACCAGTGAGGGGTGTGATTGATGACTGATAAACCTACAGAAGAGGGGTTGGGCCACTTGTGAATTCATTTAAAGAGGTCTGACAATTTTCCTTTCGTTTTTTTCATTCTGGTTGAAGTCAAAATTCGGAGAGGAAAAATGACTTTTTAGCACTTTTTTCCCTGAATTTTGAATTTAATTTCAGAATACTGACTTTCAGCTCAGAATTCTGACTTTAATCTCAGAGCTAATAAAAACTCACTTTTGTTTAGATCTAAAAAACAATTCACGTGGCCCTAATCCTCTCCCCTATATACCTTGCTGCATTGCTGCTTATGAGTGAATGTTGAAATCCTATATAAAGTATTTAGAATACTTTATGTAAATGAGCTTGTTTAATTAACAAAGTAGAAATAGAATAGAGAGGGTCCTGTCTGTCAGAGCGACGCTACATTCCTGTCTTCAGTCTCTGATTGTGTCCTCTCTCCTTTATCTGTTCAGCCTAGTGTTCTAAACTCTGTCTCTTCCTCTCTCTTTCTCCTTCCCTTCACCTTTTCATTCTCCCATTTCAACACATTGATCTTCTTTTACTCATTTGACATACATTGTTTTCACTGTCATCGTCCTCTTCTGTTCCTTAGTTCCCTCAATAGATCTCATCAGGGCTTGCATTGACCTCCTCGGCCTGGCACTGTGCCTCTTCCCTTTAAACGTCTGGCCTCTTTTAGCTCGATTCCACAGTGTGTGACACGTGGAGTGCCTTTACACGGGCACCAGTCTCTTGTTTTTCAGTCTCACAGTATGGTCAAATAGAGTGGTGCAGTGATGACAGATTTGTAGGCTGACCCAGAAGAGTAGCATCACAAGGGCCCCTCAACCAAAAGCTCTGGGATCTTTCCATTGGATTTCAGTACATTGCAGAAAAAAAACACGTTTATGAAACTTACATGTTTTGTTCAGCAGGATAATCTTCACATTTTAACACCACTTTGTAATTTGTTAGTCGTAAATGCAATCACCAGAAGTAAGCTAACTGTAGGCTAAAAGCTAACTACATCACCGTCACATGGCTGTGCATCACCGTCGCTAAGCTAAAGGCGGCTAATGGTCGGCGTGATGATGTTTGGTAGACTTAGTTAGACACTTCACTGTTTTTATGACACGCAGAGGCTTCGGGCATTCATGAGTGGAGAATTTACTGACATTTTATTTTGTAGAACTAAACGTGAAAGTCTCTTCAGTTTGTGTTAACCACAGACTTCATTTCAGCCTTCGAACTACTACAATGAAAAAAAAAGTGGTAAAATGCTGACTCATTTCCATGTTTTAGGACTCATTCCTGCACCGCTCTATTTGCGAAATCAGATTTGCATAGAACATAAAAAAGCTGGTGGTTGATGTCCCCGTATACATGATCCAAACAGTGTTCAGGTCTCATCCGCCTGCCGTGGATTTGTTTCTATCTCAGCCACTCTGAGCTGTAACAACAAAGTTAAAGTGTTCTACGCAGCAGGTTCCCACGGTTACTTTACCTCCACATTTCTCTCATCACAGAACCAGGATGTGTGTGTGAAGGCACTCCTGGAGAGTGGGGGGGGGGGGGGATATCTGTTGTAAGGAGGATTTTTGACTTTTAAGAATATAGTCCTCATGTTCCCAGCAGAGGAACACCATGGCTCTGTCTTATCTGCCCGCCTTTTCTATGAACCCATTAAACTGTCAAACCCATCTCGTAATGTCAGACTGTGTTTTATCACACACACACACACACACACACACACACACACACACACACACACACTTTTTTCCCTTTATGTTTGCCATCATTTATCATTACTTTTTTATTTATTTTATTATGTCAGTTTTTCATTCATTGTCCTCCTTTTTTTTCTTTCTGTTGTCTCCCTAACTTTTCTTTGACTTGCACTGCCATCCCTTCTTGTCCTCCTTCCTCCCGTCGACGTGCTCCGTATGTTTGGGATGTCTCCTGCAGCGAGCAGGGTGGGGGGGCCACCTGCAGCCCATACAGGGGGCCCCTGCACAGCAGAGCAGCTGGACTGCTGCACAGACCTTCCCCAGGTGAGCTTCAGTGAGGAACCTTTTTACACTCACGTTATACCGGCCACATTAAATATCATTTACATTTTAGATGATAACAATGCAAAAAACTTTCCGAAAAAACCCCACTAGTACTTATCATGTAAAAGAATGTTATAGAATAGGTAATAGATCTGAATTAAAGATTTTTCTCCATGGGTTTTAAGAAAGATGTAGATCACCTGTTTATGATCAATGTTTCTGCCCACTCTTCAAAGGTTCAAATTCAAGATTTTATTGTCATATGCGTGGAAGTATATATTGAACTGTAAAAATACTCTGTGACAACTTAAAGTCCTGCATTTAAATACATTATAAAGTACAAAAGTGTTGGGATCAAAATATATTTAAAGTACCAAAAGTAAAAGTACTTGCTTGACCTAAAGGCCCATTTCAGCATCATACAGTATATCTAATGAGGTGATTATGATCATTGTTGCATGCGTGTGTTCATCACATGGCGTCTTCGCCCAACAAAGAAGAATCAAGGGAGATGACAGACTTTACTTTGACTACTTTTATTTTGAAAAACAAATCCTCATGTTGAACCAAATCAGTTTTACTTTTGGGCAACCTGAAGAGAAATAACTTTGGGTCAATGTCTCGGTTCTTGTTGTCTTTGTCCCATAGATTGTGAAATAGCTCTAATTTAGAATTGTTCAAACAGACAGGTTTGGCAAAGCTATTAATGTGTCAGCCACATGAACATCTCTGGATGATACATGTGCATCTTCCCCTTATGTGCAGCCGGGATAAGAAAGCTCCAACCTTCAACTGACATAAATATGTGGTCAAGCAACTGAGGAAAATAAATACAAGTAAATAGTAGTATGACTATTAGAAACCTCTGGAGCCAGGATCAGACTGTGAGCTCAGTAAGGGCCCGCCCAGCAGATGTGGAAGTGTTCCTGACATTTCCCCGAAGGCCATTTATAATGTGAGTTCATCCGACTTAACCCAAACAGTTTAAGTAGCCAAGACTTTAATGAGAGAAAACGGATATGAATCATTTCTTGTGGTTATCCACTCCCTATGGGAGGGGCAGACCAACCAACCAGCTATGCTAAGCCACACTATGCTAATCTATGATGCTATGCTATGATGCTATGCTAAGCTAGGAAGTCTTGTTGGGTTTTCTTCAGCTGCACATAGGGTTATTATGCAGTAAAACATGTTTGCCCCCCCCCCTAACCCTCCCTTCTACTGATCCTGTCCTCTCCTGCCCCCCCATCCAGGTCCAAGCCTCTCTCACTCCCACCTCTGTTTGCATCCAAGAAGCCCCTCACCTCCTCCGTGTACAGAGGGACCCAGCTGGGTGGAGCTGAAGAGGAGCTCCGGGGGTTGGACAGTCTGCAGCGTGCGCCACGAGGCATGCTGTTCAACCAGAGACGTCTGTTGGAGAGGGAGAGCCCCGGGGGCAGGGGGGGGTGGTGGTGCACTGCAGGAGAGAGCTGCCACAGCGCGCAGTGGGTGAAGCAGAAGCAGGAGCACCGGAGCACCCGGCCCTGGTGAACACGGGGGCACGCTCCCATAAGAGGGGTTATTATATCTGAAAGATGTTGCAAAAAATGTTGCCCTGTAGTAGTTTACTAAACATGCTATGGGCCAAATATGGAGGTGTTACTACAACAGCCATGAGACACAACCATCCAAATGAATTGGAAGTGTTGATATAAAGCCATAACAGAGCAGCAGTGTTGAAGGGGAATCAGAAGTAGTAACCATAGTGAGGTCATTAAGGTTAAAGGTCCCATGTCATGCTTTTCTGGTTATTACCCGTCCCCTTTTGTGTTATGAAGGTTTTTCTGCATGTAAACGGTCTGCAAAGTCACAAACCCTCAAAGTACACCCTGTAGCGAGTAAAACTCTAACACAGAAAAGACCTGTCTATGCTGCCCCAGAACGCCTCGTTGGACATTTCTCTTTTTCCATTTCTTTCTTCCTTAGTATAGTGACGTAACGATACCCAGGTCCAAATAGACCAATCCGTGGAGCTCCTCACACACACACACTCACTGATGCCCCTTTCACACCAACGTGGTTCCAGGGCCGGTTCGGAGCTAGAGCCTGAAAAGCACCGGTTTTTCCTGTTCACACCGCAGCGGAGCCGCCTCTTTTCCACGAAAACCGGTTCTTACCAAGCTCCAAAAAATGGTCGGTCTAGAAGCAAGAACCGCATACGTCACGCTTACGTCGGAGGCGGGTGCAGGGGCGGGATCAACCTGAGCAATAACAGTTTATGGCGAGTACGGCAAATACAAGTTGTAACCAGCAGTAGCGCTGAGCAAAGTGACTAGAAGGCAACCACACACTTATAAAAAAAAAAACACACTTTATAAAGTCAGGCAACACTAACCAGGCTTCGTGTGATTCTGTTTATTTGTACCTTACTTTGACCATCCGTTCGCTGTTATTGATCATTGTGGAGAGCAGGCAGACGTTTTGTTTGTTATTATAGCAGTTATCGGATGGAATCAATACATGGGCTGCACAGGTTGTCATGTCCGACTATCACAAGTAGAATCATAATGAAAAATACGCCTCTAGAAGAGCGCAAGCACGGAGCTAGAACGGGAACCGCGTTGATGTGAAAGGGGCATCAGCCTTATCTTTTCTCAGCCGCGGCTCCGTGGATCTCCACTCACAGTTCGCCACGTCTCGCAGACCCCACGCAGCAACTAGGAAACCACACTAGTAATCCAGCTCACACTGTCCGCTCCTCGAGCCTCAAAGGGCGGAGCAGCGAGCCCCGCAACGTCCCGCCAACACGGCACCCAGACCCCACGCAGCATTCTCATCTGTTTGTCATTACTGGTGTCATTTTCTGGTTGCTAACAAACGCCATTGTAACACATAAACACACATCAGAGCACAGTGGGCTCATAGGGAGGGGGGGGGCAGGAGCTCCAACAAGGCGTGTAGGACAGAGAGTGAATACACATACTTTACAGAGATGCTGCATGAGAAACCAATGTGAGTTTGGAACATTGAACAATGTAAATCTATTCTAGTAGACCTCAACAATGGAATTATGATCAGTAGAAATGGCCATGTAATGGGACCTTTAACAAATCACATTCCCAGCATTCTTAGCAGCACCACACTCACCTGTACTCTCCAGGGGCCAGGTGAATAATATGTGGGTTAACCTCTAAATGTACGCACAAAGACAGAAACATGCTTAAAGTCACACATGACCCGGCTCCACGAGGACAAATACGGCAAAACGCATCGGAGTAACGCAAATGCAACCGCAAAAAACCTTCCGTCCCCACGCAATATACACCGGATTGTGTCAAGCTCCACGAGACAGCTCCGTTTACATCCAAACGCTGGAAAAGCTGCAGTACATATGCCGAACCTGTACGTGGCGCTGTAACTTCCTCCACAAAAGCAGCAACTTCCTCCACAAAAGCAGCGAAGAAGAATGGTTGTCATGGCTGCACTTCTGTGTATTCTCCGCGGTGGGGGCCGACAGAACCGGGCAGAGTTTTTCGCAGGTCAGCGTGTGTTAAAGATTATAAAAGTGCCGGTCAAAGGTCTTCATTGTTATTTATTGAGCTTTAAAACAAATGAATAACGACGATATAATGATATATAATCATCAAATACATCTATTTTTCTCATGCAGCAGCTGATCCTGTAATGAGTGACCCGACAGTAAAAATGAACATATTTATAACTAGTTTAGGTAGTTTGAGAGGTAATTAAAATAGCTAAGGGTGATGATCTGACTTGAAGTGTGTGTTTTGCTCCCGCTGCATCACAGCGGCAGGAGCTGCGTGTCTCCGTCCTGTCAGATTAGACTTCACTCGCGTTTATGTCCATATCGAGATAAAGATAAATCTGAATTCAAGGAGGAGCTCCTGTAGATGTTGCACAAAGAACTGTAGCATGGTCAGTAGCGACTGGAGCACGATAGCAACCCTGCGGGGGAGAGGCGGGGCTATGAAAACGAATGACCGTATAGGCGACTCCACGGCCCCGTTGGACCCCCCAGAGCGCTCCGTTCCCAGATCTATCCACCTTTGGACCCGTTGTCGTTTGCAGGGTCTGTTTCTACGTTTCCCTTACGGCGTCGTCGAGCTTAGAGGGCTATACGCATGAGAAATATGCGGATTCAACCCGTTTTCGTCCTCGTGGAGCCGGGGCCTTAGGACATGTATACACATAGACTGTGCTGCATGGGCTATGTTATCTCTTAAGTCAGGGGCAAAGTCCACTACGCTACATACTTGGCATGTTGGTCTGATACTAAAGCTTTGTGGATGTTGGGTTTAGCCTTGTTACTCTTGTTACCTGCTTTCTGTAGCAGTGCAGGCATGATTCCTGTTCAAATGATCTCAGGAAACTCCTGTGCTTGCTTTTCCTCATCCTTCCAAACCATTTGCCATACAAACTTTTTTATGGAGGACTTTGACATACTATACTATAGGCTCTAAGTTGTATCCTATGATTATGTTGGAACTATTTCAGCCGGTGCAACCATAGGCTTCACCTGACACTAATAGTCCGGTGATTATTTGTCTGGGATCCACCTTGTTCCTGCAGTAGCTCCGAATGGACAAACCGAGCTCCAGAGAGGGCCTTTATGTTTTCAAGTTACCTGAGGGCCACCGTAGTTCCCTGAACGTTTGTAAAACTGCTTTAACGCAGCCGCTGTCTGAATTCTGTTGCTGCTAAAGTAGTGTTATGGTAAGGATGGCTTCAGGGAGGTGGAAGTCCTGAAGGATACCACAACATTAAGGCCATTTCCCACTTGATGGTGCGTTAGAGAAGTCTGGTGAAGTCTTGCTTCAGTTGGCATAAATGAGCTCAGATCAGATCCTCACTGTCCCTGTGAGTGTTCTGCAGCCTAAGACATGTGACCATTGGTTACTTCAAAAAATGCTGGCAACAAAGTGACGCGTAATATAATAAATATAATTTAAAAACAACTTGATTCAAAAGTATTGAATAAATTGATCACATTTAAGCAACAAAAAAATAGTACGTTAATAAAATAAACATTTAAACAGTGTTGAAGAAAGTCATTTAATAAATGTTGTATTTACTAAGTATCTGAGCAAATGTAAGTTAGATGTACTTCATATCTGATGGAATTAGATGTATAGTTAATGATTATCTTGGAGAAATGGTTTTCCATTTGCTGAATATCTGTGTGAAATGAATTGATGTTTACTAATGTGCATGAAATTGACTTGCATTTACTTAAAACCTGGGAGAACTTGATTCTAATTTTCTGATGTTGGAAAGTGATTGGAATTCAATCATTTAAAAAAGCCTATTTAACTAACCGAAGTCAATAATATAAGATGTCACTTTGTTGCCATTTTTCTATGTGCACTAAATATCATGCCGTCTTAGTGCCACATGTTCCCCTAAATTCAATCAGCAGGTCTCCGTCGATGGATTTTCATGTGCACACCTCTATACAACTATCACAATCATTTTCAGGTGAGCTGTCTGACCGCGTGACACGTGGTTTGACAGAGCAGTACTGAGACCTTTACCCAGAGTGCTTCTGTTTGCTACAAGTCCTTTTTGCCAGTGGCAGGTTTACATTCTGAGTGAATTAAAGTGAGTTTCTGAACACTTTAGTGGGCTGGCTAATAGCTTGAATCAGCCAGTGTGCCATGGTTTCCATATTACTGTACAGGCACACAGCCATGGAACTACTTTACTCACAATAACATAGTGCCAACGAAAGCTGTTGGCACTTTGGGGTTTCATAACGCATGAATCTGAACTGGCAGTGCTAATATTCTTTTTTTTGGTATGTAGGATATACATTCTAACTTCTGGATAAGTTTAACATTTATGTATTCTGCCCATACTTCTTTGTGGACTTATTTGTTTGAGTGGGGTCCGTCTGCTGAGCAGGATCCAGATCTTTAGGGACTTTGGTGGTAAACAGAAAAAGGTCTGCCGTTCAAAGAAACGTAACCAAATTCAGTGATGAATTGGGCTCATATAATGTGCTTAAAGCAATACAGAATAAAACAACTCTGTTGCAGAGGCAGTTCCCCCAGAGGACTTAATTAAGTTTACTGGAATGTACCAAATGGTGAGGAAACCACAGAGGATAGGAAACAAACAAGAATGGACTCTTAACCACTATGGTCTTTGTATTCCTGCATTGTTTCTGTGGTTTGTACAGAGACAGTCCCATGAGGAGAGAAACCATCTTCATCAAAAAGGAAAGGAAAAGCGCTGGATCCAAATTGATGGTCAACTTCCATGTCCCAGCACCTTGTTTTTGTTGGAGGTGCTACTTTGAGTTCATAGACTTTGTTTGCCCTTCGATTCATATGCTGTCTTTGAACCACATCATTTAAAAACTACATTTGTTGCAAAGTGTGTCAATGTTCCTGAACTGCCAAGAACACTTTGTCCATATGGAGATGTTCTCTATGAAAAACATTTGTGCATTGTGCAATATTTTGCAGTGATTTTATGTCAGTATAAAACTACAAATGCATCTGGTCCTCAGAATTATTATAACCCTGCTCTCCCTGTGCTGATCCAGGTCTCTGCTGGATGATGTCACATGTCATTAAACAAATCACCATGCTGCATGTCAATCATTCTCCATGTATACATGAATTCATGTCAATCCATCTGTCTGAAAGCTGAGATAAACGCCTGCCGTAACATCCTGCAAACCACTTCCTTGATTCCTCTCCTCACCTCCTCTCCTCATGTCCTAATCCCGCCAACAGGAGGTCTGAGTGTAGGAGACGAGGAAGAGGAGAGTCAGAATGCCATGGATGGAATGTGATGTGATGCACAGCTGTATTCGCTGTCTATGTTTGGGTTATTTGTTATTTGGCTCTATTTTATGTCAGATAAGCATCAATGGCAAGGTTATGGTTCTGCGCACATTCAGGAGCAGTTGATCTGCTGACCTGAGAGGGCGGTTGGGCGTGTAAGGGTGTAGCAGCTCAGAAAGATATGGTGGGGTCATGCCATTTAGGGATTTAAAAGTCAACAAAAGGATTTTGAAATGAATCCTAAAATGTATTGGCAGCCAGTGGAGCGAAGCCAAAATGGGGGAAATGTGGTCATATCTCCGTGTGCCAGTTAAAAGCCTTGCTGCGGCATTTTGCACCCGCTGCAGCGAGGGAGGACCCACTGACCCCCATGTAGAGAGAGTTACAGTAATCCAGCCGAGTGGGGACAAAGGCGTGGGTTACTGTCTCCAACTGCTGTCTGGAGAGAAAAGGTTTTACTTTGGCTAGCTGCCTCAGGTGAGAAAAGCTGCTTTTTACCACAGATTGAATCTGACTCTCAAGTCATTTCCCTTTCATGGCAGGATAGGAACACATAGGAAAATGGGACACAACAAATAATGATTACTTTACATTTTGGTATAATTTAATGCACATACGTTTGTGCTTTTAATGAAGTAAGAATTTAAATGCAGGACTTTTACTGTACTACACTTGCCGGTCGTCATTATACCTGTCACAGGAGAGTTGCTCAGGTTTCCCATCTTTGTCATATACTCACATAGTTGACCTTTTCCAGCAGAGAGCTCGTTCTTGCTGAACGTGTTTTTCCTGTCTGTCAGCAGCAGAGACTCACACTCACTGGACCATGGGAACATTAGCTGAGTTTAATCATTAAAATGAGAGCCGCCTGCTTTCACATGGAGCTCAATCTGGGCCAAAAGTTTGGAAAGTGTTTGAAAGTTCATGTTTCGATCCTGAATTTTGAAGAATACAATGATATATATAAGCAAATAATTAGTATTTAAAAATATGTTCAGGTTGAATATTATTTTGATTCAGTTTAGCAATTTATTTTTGAATAAATACATATATTTCCCTTTTATATTCTGATGAGTCTTTTTTTCAGTTTCAGATTTTATGCTTTCAGATTCAGAAAAATAAGATTTGAATCTGAAAGAATAAACAATCAAAATAATATCCAACCTTAATTTTTAAATACGTCATAGTATTTTACAAAGTCCAAAACTTTCAAATCCATTTTATTTTTTCAGATGAAACTTTTGGCCCAGATTTCGCTCCATAGTTTCACAGGTCCTTTAAAGTGAGGAAAACTAAACAGTCTGGTATGTGTTTTCATATTCTCAGCGCCAAAAAGAGGACAAATATAAGAATAGTTTAACATTTTGTATAGATATCAATCTCTTGTCAATTATTTAATAAAGAGCTACGACTTGGTTAGCTTAGCTTCACATAGCTTAAAAAAAAACAAATACATGAAATATAACTTTTGAATCTAGACATTACAATGTGAACAATATCATTTAACTGACTCCAATGGGAATTTGCACTGTACTTTTTACACAAACTTCCTGCACAGAAGCTCTCTATCTTATGAAGACAGATTTAGGTCCACAGTGTTCCTCCTCCTGAGGCCAGGTGTGTCCCCACATGGTGCTCCTAGTCGGACTCTCGCAGTAAGGAGAGGTAGACGTCGGACTGGAGGAAGCGGGGATAACAGTCTGTGTCCAGGAGGGAGAAGATGCGTTTCTGAGCGAGGGACAGCGAGGCGTGGGACGGAGCCTGCAGCAGCTGGAGGGACAGGTCCCTGGTCTTACTGTCCAGGTTCACCTGCAACAAGACCACACGGTAAGTAAGTAGGACACTAACCTATTACACAGCTTAGTTGAATACTGCATTTTGTTTGGTCAATTTGGACATACAGTAGTCTTTTTTGATAGCAGACCACTGCTAAAGACGCTCTAAATAAGGGACTATGTGCATCTGAAAACACCATGAAATACTTTCTGAATATTCATGTTTATGTTTTTTGGAGAGCACAATACTTTGGATTTATGATGGCTGAACTGTCCCCAGTTAAGGAAAAAAAAAAAGAAGAACAAGAAATGAACAAGAGAAGGAATAGAGGTTAAGGACACGGAGGCCGTTGCTCAATCGCGAGGATATTGGCTTCCAAGCCAATATTTCAAGGATGCTACGTCATCAAGTGGCGCAGCAGGACCGTTCCAATGTCCAGCATACTTGGAAATCTACCGAGGCCGCGTCCTTGGTTTGGGGGAAATTTCGAGGCTGCTCATGGGTAGACTTCGTGTCCTTAAAATCCCCACAATGCTTTGCGCACGGACCAATTTCCCCAAATATGCGGCGGAAGATGTAAGGCGGGGCCTCTCATATGACGCACACCTGCACACTTGCTAGCCTGTTCCACTTTTCCAAATGCCAGGAAGTATTCTTTCCTCGCTTCTGAAGCAAGATGCTCGGCAAGATGCTCGGCTCGGCTGCGGCAAGCATCCTCGCGATTGAGAAACGGCCTCTGTGTGAGATGTCTTTTTTAGCTGTTCTGTCGTCATTTCCTGCGATCTTCTAGCAAGTGTGCAGGTGTGCGTCATATGAGAGGCCCCGCCTTACATTTTCCGCCACAGATTTGGGGAAATTGGTCCGTGCGCAAAGCATTGTGGGGATTTTAAGACCGCGGAGTCTACTCATGTGCAGCCTCGATATTTCTCCAAACGGAGTACGCCAGGCTCGGTAGATTTCCAAGTATGCTGGAGATTGGAACAGTACTTCGGCGGCACTCGATGACGTAGTATGCTTGAAATAGTGTCTCTGCAGCAGCTTTACTCGACATTGAGAAACACCCAGAAACTAGCAGAAGAAGACAGACAGGAAGTAAACACTAAAGGGAACAGCAGAAGAAGACAGACAGGAAGTAAACTGTTGACTCTTTTAAAACTATTTTAAAGACATTCCTGTTTGGGCAGGCGTTTGGGTAACCGGTGTGCTTGATTTTATTCCATTTTATACTATGTTTTTATTTTGTTTGTTTTAAATTTCGTTTGTAAGTTTTGTTTTATTGTGTTTTTATTGTGTCTTAATTATGTTCTGGTGCTTTTATGACTTCTTAACATGTGGCTTGTGTGTTCATTGATCATTGTACGCCTCTTATGTTGATGTCTTATTGTTTTGTCAAGCACTGAAATGCGCTTTATAAATAAACTTGACTTACTTACACCAAAGGGTAGTGATGGGAATTCCGGCTCTTCTTGGTGAGCCGGATCATTTGGCTCGGCTCACCAAGAAGAGCCGGCTCTTTCGGCTCCCAAACGGCTCTTCATTTGATCGCATATACCTTTTATAATTCAATCAAATGTAGCCCTGTTTTGACTAGTGATTTATATGTGTACACATATCACTTAAAGTATTCAATACATCCTTTGTACTGAAGTATTCAAAAGTAAAAATTGCATGTTTAATATAAACGATTTGCTGTGGCCAATTGTTTTCATTGCATTTAGAGACCCTTGTATCTCTCTGATACCACCCTGTGAACTCAATGACTTGCTTGTAGAACACGCTACACAAAGCAGATAGCAACAACTATAAAATCGTTGCTGAGCCTAAAGATAATCATAAATAAATAACAGTGAAAATAAATATATTGCAATGCTCAAAACAGCAGCATCCAACCGTCTCTAATCCTTGGATATTACATGTCACTGCATGCGTAGCGCGGAGATCATCATATCATTCTGTCTTGTATTAGGCTATTTAACAACAACAAAATCAACAACAAAAAACTGCTCGTTCGCGGGCGCGAGCCGGCTCGTTCGCGACCGACACATGACTACTAAAGGGAACAGCAGAAGAAGACAGACAGGAAGTAAACACTAAAGGGAACAGCAGAAGAAGACAGACATTAAGTAAACACTAAAGGGAACAGCAGAAGACAGACAGGAAGTTAACACTAAAGGGAACAGCAGAAGACAGACAGGAAGTAAACACTAAAGGGAACAGCAGAAGACAGACAGGAAGTAAACATTAAAGGGAACAGCAGAAGACAGACATGAAGTAAACACTAAAGGGAACAGCAGAAGACAGACATGAAGTAAACACTAAAGGGAACAGCAGAAGACAGACAGGAAGTTAACACTAAAGGGAACAGCAGAAGACAGACAGGAAGTTAACACTAAAGGGAACAGCAGAAGACAGACAGGAAGTTAACACTAAAGGGAACAGCAGAAGACAGACAGGAAGTTAACACTAAAGGGAACAGCAGAAGACAGACAGGAAGTTAACACTAAAGGGAACAGCAGAAGACAGACAGGAAGTAAACACTAACAGGAACACAGTATAGGGCTCTGAGGTAAAAGACTGATTTGTGGAAAACAAAATGTGAACAGACTTGGACAGTCTGCTGTCATTTTTAAATCAGTAAAATAGATATATTTAAATATATAAAACTCTTGATGTATTCAGTAAGTAGCCCTGTGATACGTGCTATAATGTGCTTCACATCCGGATCATGCTTGACTTCTTTTTTATTATTACAAAATGGAACATGTATACCCCTGATGCGAACAAAATGACCTCTAGATGAAGAGTAATCACAGTACCACAGACACATCTGTAACGTCATCTATTCAAGAACTAGTGCAGCCAATCACCAGAGCATTATCTATTTCCACAGGAAGAGCTGCTGTTTGTGCACATATCACATCATGTCTCCTGTTGTATCTGAACATTTCCCTTAGTTGGAAATGTACAATTACTGGACTGGAGCAACACACCAAGTGAGAACGAATGCCCTTATGTATGATAGTTATATATAGTAAAACATAACATCTCCAAAATGGACACTTCATGGGCCAAAGATGTAGAATATTTTACTCTTTTTTTAAACGACTGATCTGGTGCAAGCCATTTCAAAGTCACTGCTCTTACAGTATATCAATTGAGTTAATCCAGTACCTACATTAGGGAAAAGATTGACATGCATTTAGAGTGAGGAACTTTTATTGTTTTACTGCTGAACTTACCGGAATAACTGAATGTATGTGAGATTATGTTTTAACTCATTAGAACTAGTAAATGTCCTCTAAAATAAGTGGTTCTAAAAAAAAAACAGAAAGGTAGAGTCTTCATAGCGAGAAATCATGTACACAAACAGTTTTATCTCAGCCTACCTGAGCTGTTGCAATGTTTAGGTAATTGTCAACTTGTTAGGAATAACATCAAATGCTCGCAGGTTGAGGGCGTTAGGTGAGTTTGGTGTAACCTTTACATTTGTCACACATGTTGTTCACTTTAAGTCATTTCCTATCAGTAGAAGAAGAAAGAAGAAAGTAGAAAAATACTGATGTGTTTCCAAAAGGTTGTTTTTTCTGGCAAGTCTTGCTCTACTTGTGCAAAACAGTCTCTAATGAATGCTGCTATTGATGCAAGCTGTGACGTTAAACCTCAAACGCCTACACAGGGGGAAACGTGAGAGGTACACACATGAGACAGGACTTGAATTACATTTCCTGTTTGATGCAGAGAGGTTTGAAAACCTTGGCTGCATGACGCTAGCTTTAACATAAGAGTTGTGTACCTCCCGCGGGGCTCCGGGCTGGATGTAGGTGCTGCAGATCTCCTTGGCCCTCCTCTGCAGGCTGAAGTTGTTGGACGAGTGTTTGTACTGCTCACAGGCCAGATAGAACTGCAGGTTCTCCTCGCTGAACTCAGAGCGCAGGAATGCTCCAAACACTGAGACCCCACCTGAGAGGAGGAGGAGGGACACATGCAAACGCCACTTTAAGCATGTTACAAGCAGACACCCACACACAGAACACTGACGCAACAATCTTGCAGGCCTTGTAAGCACAACACAAACACACACAAGTGTTGCCAGCTGTGAAGTTTCTCAGGTTCGTTTCCAAACTTTGGCACGCACCGTTCATTTCTATTTGTCTCGTCTCAGGCTGTCTAGGCTTTGATTCATGGCTGGTTATTAATCTGAGGTTTCAAACATGACTTTGTACGGATGGACAGTTTCAAAGTGCTGCTGACACCACATTTAGGTATGCCACAGCTCACACACTTCAGCTGCAGAGAACAGCACTCTAAATGAGCATGGCACTGATAAGGAGGCCCACAGAGGGCTGGGGGGAGCCATCAGGCAGGCTCTGTGTGCAGTTAAAGGCAAAGAGTCAGCAGAACATTACTGAAGCATAAGTTCATCAATGCTGAACTAAAAGACATGGTCTGAGAGATGAGAGGAGGTGTTCACGTTAAAGGGGCCCTGTTATGCTCATTCTCAGGTTCATATCAGTATGTAGTGTCTCTACTTTAAAGAGTCCTCTCCTGCTGATGTTCAGGTGTATATCAGTATGTAGTGTCTCTACTTTAAAGAGTCCTCTCCTGCTGATGTTCAGGTGTATATCAGTATGTAGTGTCTCTACTTTAAAGAGTCCTCTCCTGCTGATGTTCAGGTGTATATCAGTATGTAGTGTCTCTACTTTAAAGAGTCCTCTCCTGCTGATGTTCAGGTGTATATCAGTATGTAGTGTCTCTACTTTAAAGAGTCCTCTCCTGCTGATGTTCAGGTGTATATCAGTATGTAGTGTCTCTACTTTAAAGAGTCCTCTCCTGCTGATGTTCAGGTGTATATCAGTATGTAGTGTCTCTACTTTAAAGAGTCCTCTCCTGCTGATGTTCAGGTGTATATCAGTATGTAGTGTCTCTACTTTAAAGAGTCCTCTCCTGCTGATGTTCAGGTGTATATCAGTATGTAGTGTCTCTACTTTAAAGAGTCCTCTCCTGCTGATGTTCAGGTGTATATCAGTATGTAGTGTCTCTACTTTAAAGAGTCCTCTCCTGCTGATGTTCAGGTGTATATCAGTATGTAGTGTCTCTACTTTAAAGAGTCCTCTCCTGCTGATGTTCAGGTGTATATCAGTATGTAGTGTCTCTACTTTAAAGAGTCCTCTCCTGCTGATGTTCAGGTGTATATCAGTATGTAGTGTCTCTACTTTAAAGAGTCCTCTCCTGCTGATGTTCAGGTGTATATCAGTATGTAGTGTCTCTACTTTAAAGAAGTCCTCTCCTGCTGATGTTCAGGTGTATATCAGTATGTAGTGTCTCTACTTTAAAGAGTCCTCTCCTGCTGATGTTCAGGTGTATATCAGTATGTAGTGTCTCTACTTTAAAGAGTCCTCTCCTGCTGATGTTCAGGTGTATATCAGTATGTAGTGTCTCTACTTTAAAGAGTCCTCTCCTGCTGATGTTCAGGTGTATATCAGTATGTAGTGTCTCTACTTTAAAGAGTCCTCTCCTGCTGATGTTCAGGTGTATATCAGTATGTAGTGTCTCTACTTTAAAGAGTCCTCTCCTGCTGATGTTCAGGTGTATATCAGTATGTAGTGTCTCTACTTTAAAGAGTCCTCTCCTGCTGATGTTCAGGTGTATATCAGTATGTAGTGTCTCTACTTTAAAGAGTCCTCTCCTGCTGATGTTCAGGTGTATATCAGTATGTAGTGTCTCTACTTTAAAGAGTCCTCTCCTGCTGATGTTCAGGTGTATATCAGTATGTAGTGTCTCTACTTTAAAGAGTCCTCTCCTGCTGATGTTCAGGTGTATATCAGTATGTAGTGTCTCTACTTTAAAGAGTCCTCTCCTCTGATGTTCAGGTGTATATCAGTATGTAGTGTCTCTACTTTAAAGAGTCCTCTCCTGCTGATGTTCAGGTGTATATCAGTATGTAGTGTCTCTACTTTAAAGAGTCCTCTCCTGCTGATGTTCAGGTGTATATCAGTATGTAGTGTCTCTACTTTAAAGAGTCCTCTCCTGCTGATGTTCAGGTGTATATCAGTATGTAGTGTCTCTACTTTAAAGAGTCCTCTCCTCTGATGTTCAGGTGTATATCAGTATGTAGTGTCTCTACTTTAAAGAGTCCTCTCCTGCTGATGTTCAGGTGTATATCAGTATGTAGTGTCTCTACTTTAAAGAGTCCTCTCCTGCTGATGTTCAGGTGTATATCAGTATGTAGTGTCTCTACTTTAAAGAGTCCTCTCCTGCTGATGTTCAGGTGTATATCAGTATGTAGTGTCTCTACTTTAAAGAGTCCTCTCCTGCTGATGTTCAGGTGTATATCAGTATGTAGTGTCTCTACTTTAAAGAGTCCTCTCCTGCTGATGTTCAGGTGTATATCAGTATGTAGTGTCTCTACTTTAAAGAGTCCTCTCCTGCTGATGTTCAGGTGTATATCAGTATGTAGTGTCTCTACTTTAAAGAGTCCTCTCCTGCTGATGTTCAGGTGTATATCAGTATGTAGTGTCTCTACTTTAAAGAGTCCTCTCCTGCTGATGTTCAGGTGTATATCAGTATGTAGTGTCTCTACTTTAAAGAGTCCTCTCCTGCTGATGTTCAGGTGTATATCAGTATGTAGTGTCTCTACTTTAAAGAGTCCTCTCCTGCTGATGTTCAGGTGTATATCAGTATGTAGTGTCTCTACTTTAAAGAGTCCTCTCCTGCTGATGTTCAGGTGTATATCAGTATGTAGTGTCTCTACTTTAAAGAGTCCTCTCCTGCTGATGTTCAGGTGTATATCAGTATGTAGTGTCTCTACTTTAAAGAGTCCTCTCCTGCTGATGTTCAGGTGTATATCAGTATGTAGTGTCTCTACTTTAAAGAGTCCTCTCCTGCTGATGTTCAGGTGTATATCAGTATGTAGTGTCTCTACTTTAAAGAGTCCTCTCCTGCTGATGTTCAGGTGTATATCAGTATGTAGTGTCTCTACTTTAAAGAGTCCTCTCCTGCTGATGTTCAGGTGTATATCAGTATGTAGTGTCTCTACTTTAAAGAGTCCTCTCCTGCTGATGTTCAGGTGTATATCAGTATGTAGTGTCTCTACTTTAAAGAGTCCTCTCCTGCTGATGTTCAGGTGTATATCAGTATGTAGTGTCTCTACTTTAAAGAGTCCTCTCCTGCTGATGTTCAGGTGTATATCAGTATGTAGTGTCTCTACTTTAAAGAGTCCTCTCCTGCTGATGTTCAGGTGTATATCAGTATGTAGTGTCTCTACTTTAAAGAGTCCTCTCCTGCTGATGTTCAGGTGTATATCAGTATGTAGTGTCTCTACTTTAAAGAGTCCTCTCCTGCTGATGTTCAGGTGTATATCAGTATGTAGTGTCTCTACTTTAAAGAGTCCTCTCCTGCTGATGTTCAGGTGTATATCAGTATGTAGTGTCTCTACTTTAAAGAGTCCTCTCCTCTGATGTTCAGGTGTATATCAGTATGTAGTGTCTCTACTTTAAAGAGTCCTCTCCTGCTGATGTTCAGGTGTATATCAGTATGTAGTGTCTCTACTTTAAAGAGTCCTCTCCTGCTGATGTTCAGGTGTATATCAGTATGTAGTGTCTCTACTTTAAAGAGTCCTCTCCTGCTGATGTTCAGGTGTATATCAGTATGTAGTGTCTCTACTTTAAAGAGTCCTCTCCTGCTGATGTTCAGGTGTATATCAGTATGTAGTGTCTCTACTTTAAAGAGTCCTCTCCTGCTGATGTTCAGGTGTATATCAGTATGTAGTGTCTCTACTTTAAAGAGTCCTCTCCTGCTGATGTTCAGGTGTATATCAGTATGTAGTGTCTCTACTTTAAAGAGTCCTCTCCTGCTGATGTTCAGGTGTATATCAGTATGTAGTGTCTCTACTTTAAAGAGTCCTCTCCTGCTGATGTTCAGGTGTATATCAGTATGTAGTGTCTCTACTTTAAAGAGTCCTCTCCTGCTGATGTTCAGGTGTATATCAGTATGTAGTGTCTCTACTTTAAAGAGTCCTCTCCTGCTGATGTTCAGGTGTATATCAGTATGTAGTGTCTCTACTTTAAAGAGTCCTCTCCTGCTGATGTTCAGGTGTATATCAGTATGTAGTGTCTCTACTTTAAAGAGTCCTCTCCTGCTGATGTTCAGGTGTATATCAGTATGTAGTGTCTCTACTTTAAAGAGTCCTCTCCTGCTGATGTTCAGGTGTATATCAGTATGTAGTGTCTCTACTTTAAAGAGTCCTCTCCTGCTGATGTTCAGGTGTATATCAGTATGTAGTGTCTCTACTTTAAAGAGTCCTCTCCTGCTGATGTTCAGGTGTATATCAGTATGTAGTGTCTCTACTTTAAAGAGTCCTCTCCTGCTGATGTTCAGGTGTATATCAGTATGTAGTGTCTCTACTTTAAAGAGTCCTCTCCTGCTGATGTTCAGGTGTATATCAGTATGTAGTGTCTCTACTTTAAAGAGTCCTCTCCTGCTGATGTTCAGGTGTATATCAGTATGTAGTGTCTCTACTTTAAAGAGTCCTCTCCTGCTGATGTTCAGGTGTATATCAGTATGTAGTGTCTCTACTTTAAAGAGTCCTCTCCTGCTGATGTTCAGGTGTATATCAGTATGTAGTGTCTCTACTTTAAAGAGTCCTCTCCTCTGATGTTCAGGTGTATATCAGTATGTAGTGTCTCTACTTTAAAGAGTCCTCTCCTGCTGATGTTCAGGTGTATATCAGTATGTAGTGTCTCTACTTTAAAGAGTCCTCTCCTGCTGATGTTCAGGTGTATATCAGTATGTAGTGTCTCTACTTTAAAGAGTCCTCTCCTGCTGATGTTCAGGTGTATATCAGTATGTAGTGTCTCTACTTTAAAGAGTCCTCTCCTGCTGATGTTCAGGTGTATATCAGTATGTAGTGTCTCTACTTTAAAGAGTCCTCTCCTGCTGATGTTCAGGTGTATATCAGTATG